TTTATTGAGCTAGAGCAATTTGCTCAGCGCCGAGCTTCGCTTGAATTGCGGCTGCTTAAAATGAAAGAATCCCAAGACAGGTTTTGTCTGAAAAGGGATGGCGGTGGCTGCGTAGCAAAGGCTCCACCGTGTACAAAGGCTGACTAGAAAAATTATAGTGTCAATGATGGTTCTGAGAGCGATTTTTAAGATGCTGCTCTACTGTGTCTGCTCTGGTACCTGTTCGGGCGAGCTTCAGACCTGTCGATGATCAAGAAGCAGAACATCTCTATAGATGACACTCGCGCCTTCATTCTTCGCTTAGTCCGAGTTGAAAGAGCAAGGTTTGTCTCACTTCCCCGTCGCCGACTTCGTAACGTGCCCCTTGATCGCCGTTCCAATAGCCCTCTCCGTCCAAGCTGCACCATGTCTGCTCCTCGTCGGGAGCCTGTCCGACTATGTGATACACACGTCAATCCCATTATCACCTGACTTGCCGCTCGTGGAGCTCCTAAACGCAATACCGGCGACCTCTCGCCTTGCTACGCCTGCTCCTCCTCGTCGTACGGCTGCGGCCCCGACAATCTACGCACACGTCAACCGTGTGCTTGTTCGCGTCGCATTGCCGCCGGCGTGTCATCCTGCTCTCACGTCGCACTCCTTCCGTCGTGGTGGGGTCCAACATGTCAACGGCTGCGAGAAGATGACCGCGCGCCGGATCTTTAATCGCGGATCTTGGAACCTAAGCACCATAAACAAAGGGTCCAATTACATTTTCAACACAAGTAGAGAAGACCTCATGATTACCAAAGTATTGTGTGGATAGAAACCTCGCGGACCGTGCCCCTCTATAAAACCTGTCCGGCTTTGACGTAGACACCGTTGACGCGATTGCCGAGCTCCAACGAGGCTAATTCTCAGTTTGCTACCAGCTAAAGACGAAGAGCTTCAACATCAACAGGAAGGTTCTGGACGTCCTATCCGCGTGCGTCGTTAATCAATATCCCATAGTTAAGGGAGCAAAGGTCTTGAGTCCCAACAGTCCTGTAATGCAGCGACCGGTAACCTGTGTTACGCAGGCTGGACGTACGCTACCGGACCTTTAAGACTGGGCGACGCATCTTACAGGGGCGAATCATTCCTGTAAGGACAACAATGGCAGCGTCCACCTCACCTCCTTGCCTATCGAACCAAGCCAAAAACAGAAGAGCATCGACCACCAGGCCGCTGTAATTAAAACCTTTATCGAGAACCCCAAGCGTCAAGACGGACGCATGGATATGCTTGAGGCTATGCTGAACGACGATCCTGTAGCCGAACGCGAAATAAAAGCATTTAAGATGAAGACGGCTCAGATGTGAGCATACTTAAGCTAAAACAGCGTAGAGGATCGGTTACCTACCTTCATGCGACTTGCTTTACCTGGTATGCGCAAGGGCCACACTGGTACGCTAAAGTACCGAAGCAGCAGCGCTCGAAGGTCCACTGCGTAGGCGCGCTAAATTCCAAGATCCAACGCCACCGTCAGTTGTTCAGACAGCTGCAATCCAAGGACAGACTCCTGGCTACACGCAGGAAGTTCTTGAGGGGGTTAGAAAGTTGGACAAATAAACTAGATTGGAATGTATTCACCCTTCCTCACAGCATCAAGGCATGTCAACCTCAAGACACGTATGCAGTCACTTTTCTTGCTGATCTGAGCTGTCCTCGACTTTTGAACTTCGCCACAACGCCTCTAATCCAAGCAGAGGCAATAATGATGACCCTATTTGAACCGGCATTCTCAAGACTGAAGCCTTGTGCTCTCCCAGTTAAGCTACACCGTTGGAAGGGGGGTCAGAGGCGACCTGGCGGCTTAGAAGACCGTGCATCTCGTACAGGGCATCAGCGTAGTTGCGTTAAGAAATGTAAAATTGATCAGCGGTCAGAAACGGATTGAATGAAAGTGAGAGGCTGCAAACCATTCGATTTCTGTATTCTAACGCAAATACAAGTAATACGTTTTTACTGGCAACAAAATATGCAATATTAGCTATGATAACTGGCTGTCGTTAATCTTAATTTATCGAGCACATGCAAAATTATAAGGCCGATCGTGGCGCTTCTGACTCATTGTTAAATTTGCCAGCTCGTGAGCACGTGACTCTCATCCCAAAAATGCATAGAAAAAATAGTAATTTTCTCAGCCCAGAGGGCGTTTCAGGCCATTTCCTGCCGTCAACAGACAGTCTATTTGGCCACTCTTTGGTATTTTCCGTCATTTCACGTCGGATATGCACTCCCATAAACCTTTCACCCATCTGGGACAAACTGTGTACTATAAATTAGTCCGATAAGGTCATCCAGTCCGATAAATTTTGGTATGGGGAAGCACATATTGTGAGCCATAACTTGCGATTACATGTACAGAGAGTTAATTATGTGCGTTGAAGAAGCGGAATCAACTTTGCTAAGATTAGTTTTAGTCATCATACGTTTCTGACGAAACTACGCATAAATGTATATCTGTGAATCATCATTGTTGACGAAGCAATTTTTTGAATTTCTGCAAATTACCATTGCTGACGAAGCTATCCATGAATACCAGTATCTGTTAATAATCAACGCTGACGAAGCTCTTCATGGATATTTGTCGAGGGAAAATTGAAGGGGCAAATACCTGAAATATTTCGAGTAAGCGGACATGTCAGTTGGATCCCACATAAGTGTACCATATATATAAGTGGTAATACTAGTAAGCTGGTAAAATCATCAGCACAGTTGGCGATCTCGAGCCAATCCAAAACAATATGTTTCGCAAAGGCAACGCGTAACCATAAGTCCTATCAGCGCCTAAAATATACCAACTGCATGCAATGAGCACGCTAAATTAGTGAGGACTTGAAGGTGCCACACTTTCCTTTTCGACGGGTGGCTGGGAACGTTCAAGAAACGACATACAGAAGTCACCCTTAACTAGCGTAGGGGGTCAGCTGATAAATTTGCATAGGGAAATCAAAGCGATCTGGTGATTTGTCTGTAATTTCTTCAATTCCTATGATCAAGCGGTATATGAAGTGCAAGCTACGTTTAACAGGAGGACTTCTGTATACGAACGAATCAGGTTGTGTATTGACGAAGTGCTGTTGTGCCTTTCTCCTGTGCTCGACCGATACAAGGTACTAAACTTATACATGTAGGACGTTTTAATTATACTGAGACGGGACTGTTTCAGGAATGGCCGCAGATTTACACCAGATATAATTCATTATATTTGGTCCGGTAAGCTTGGAGCGTCCACGTTCTCAACACAGTATAGATACTGGAACCACCGAGATGTCTATTCTGAAACAAAAAGCCAACAAGTTACATTTATAGCAATATTTTATATTGCTAATATATAATCACCTGAAAATTAATGGTTTTACGAGTTGAAATAATAATTATATTTAGATCAAACCTGCTCCTGAGTTTCATGCACGGTTATTATAAGATGGTGTGGGGAACGCAAACTAGACGTATAAATAATAACGCTTAATATATTGTGTAGTCTTTGACGAACTTCGAGCAGAGAATACGGTGTTACATTTTCTTGGGGCCAAAGTTCAGGTCCTTTATCAATGAGCTGACGAGCACTTTACTGTTTATATAAACTGACTGCCTAACATGGACGGCTGCGCAACTTAGTTAGCAACCAATTTAGCTGGGTTTTGCGACTTCAAAGAACTGAGTTACTGTATATTGTTGGAGGACACTGTAAAAGTGCTGGCAAACAGCGCTGGTTTGCGTGATGTTGGAGGACGGCAAACTTTTTATGGTCCTAAGTTGCTAAAATGACAAACATCGCTGGTTGGGCAACTTTGTTTAGTTGGCGTAATGTTGCAGCACAACATGCTTTTAACTTGCTACAATAACAAACACCGCTAGTTGCGCATCTTTGTCAAATAAATGAACACCTGAACATGTTCAGAGACAGTACCGAGACGATTAAAGTATTTTTATGAGCAATGGATTTCAAAAATACTCACTTCATAGTTTTAATTTAAATTTATAAGCTAACTTTGAGCATGCAAAAAAAAAGGAGAAATAACTAAGGCAGGATATTATGGGTAAATATAGCTTGACGATGCTGGAGATAACATATTTTGAATTTTCGCACAACCTCGAATACTCTGAGCGGTAAAGCAAACCTTTCAAACCTCCACCTACAAAAAACAAGTCACAAACCAATCGCGCATCTTGGTATAACATTTTGACATGTGACTCACGGTATATGCCATTCAGAATAATATGATATTGTTCATGGTCAGTCAGCTCATCGCCCTCCTCGACCATGCGCTTTGCCGAGGAACAATATATATCGGGTTACAGCGTTTGCTCGCTCGCTCGCATCGAACAGCCAGAGACTCGCTCTCGTAGCCGCTCTCAATCTACTTCGGTGTTGTTTTGAGCTGAACTGTATTACAAAAAACGATCGTTTATTTGGTCCCAAAATGCCTCTATATCGTGCAAAAAAGATTTATATTCGGGACATTTGGGATGTATAGTTGGCTCCAGTTAAGAGCTACTACTACTACTAAGTCGTAAATTAGAGCTGCCGCCACAGGCAACATTCTTCTGTGTTTTTGTGACACCCACCGGGCATTAATTATAAGAGGTCAAACGATCAAGTTTCGGTACGGAGTGGTCCATTAATTTATCGTTTAAAGATAGAATGCCACCATATTTTTTCTGTATGACCGTGTGTGTTTGGTGGTGGTGGTTGAGGGGGGGGGGCTAGATGATACCGTAGCCGTGAGGAAGGAAAAAATTGGTCACGCAAGAGGCGACGGCTGAGTGGCTTTTGAATCTAGCACCAAAGATAATGGAAGAACAAATGAAGTAGACCTGGGTCTTCATTATGCGGTCGAGTGCTACGGTAGCTGATCAAATTAGGCCACATCACGCCCTATTCCCTAAAGAATGCCTGAATTACCCACGTTGTGACTGCTGGTGTTAGCGAGCCAGCGGGTACCTTGACGACCGTCGGCGACGATTAGTTCTTAGTCCTTCATGATCGTCTCTCTCATTTTTTCGAGCCACGCCTGTAGCTTCATCGTTTCGAGGATAGACTTCTTGCGTTTTGCAGCTTCTTTTGCCTTTTTCACGGCTTCAACGGGATCCAGCTTCTTCGCAGCTTCCAAAATAGCGTTACCGATGGTCCTCTCTTCCTCACTGTCATCTCGATCGTTGTCGACACGCCGAAGGAATCTGCCGCCATCCAAAGGGGCTGACGCGACAACGTCAAACGACGCCCCATTCTCGGTAATTGGCTTGGGCTCCGTGACAGCAGGAAGCGCAGAGGTACCGAGGTGGAGAGTGGCTGCAGTCATCGTCGCTAGGATGTATGTCAGGCGCATAGTTACTGTTAGTTTTGAAGGGCTAAGACGAGAGTGTCGTTCGCTAAAGTGAGTCAGTTGTGGAATGCCAAGAGAATCGAGGAATGGAGCTCTCGGAGTTTATCGAGTTGGTTTGTCGAGAGCACTTGAGCTGACTCAAATACAGCGTTTCCAAGGCCAGCGTGCAATCGTCGATTGAGGAGAGTGGTCATCGATTGCCAATCGATGACCACTCTCCTGCCATTTTCACAAAAAAAGGCAAATATTTTAGGATTTGAAATCATTTGGTTCTATAATCAAATCAAACCTTTTGCTATAATTACACACTCGCAACGATTTTTGGAGCGGCCATCAAGAACATTCGCAATGGTGGCATACATACGTACGAGGAAAAAGAAGTCTAAGCACAAACCCACGAGTTTTTCGTGTCTAGACCATGATGCTAGATCACAGCTGTGATCTTGTGTTGGCTGTGAAAATCCGCGGCACTTTAAAATTGCTTATCCATAAAAATACTACAACCCCCCCCCCCCTCGTGTGTTGCACCCGAGGATGGGTACTGTATTACTTAAAATTGCAGTGGGCAAAGAACTATGTGCAGTAAACTTGCTATGCTCATCAAGATACAGTACCTCCGTATGTGATAGTACCGGTATGGAGCTTTAGTTGTTTACATTGGGAGCAGCAATACTCTGGATCAAATCTGAATTAATGACGAATGCAGTTACGAAGGGATGATTAAATACCTAATTCCAGAGAGTCTATGGTTTAGGTCAGTACAGATGTAGCCCATTTATTAAAAAATTACAGTTTACGGTGATCTAAATGGGCTAAATTCTGAAGTATTAAGTTCATGTATTTTATTCATCAAACACAACTGCATGATCAAGAGGCGTAAACAGCCAGATACGTAAGCAAGGGAAGAAGGAGAAGATGTGGCGTAGATGTGGCGTGCGAAAATAATACGTGTAGGAAAGTGAATCTGTCCATCAATTTGCATATCCAGTGTTCAACGGGTTGTAGAGTGGTTGTGTGTATATACTGTATATCCACAACTCACTTGAGATTTTTTTTACCAAGTGAACTTTGGCAATCAAAAGTGTCTGAGTTTTAATACACGACATAATAACTGTAGCATTTAAGTACCACTATTGTCTTATTAATTGCCCACAAGAACTTAACCCATGCAAATGTTTCGAATCGTAGCCACACACACATGCCTTGTCAAAATCGGTGGTGCGATGCTCACCCTCTTGAGTTGCTATTAATACTGTTGCGACAATGCCGCCTGTTTTACAATAGATCACCGTGTTGTTGTAGCGATCTTACTTGCGTTTCAATTTCGCTCGAATAGACGTGGGGCGGCAACACATTTTAGATAATTTTAAAACAGAGTAACCCCCTCATGCAGCTGCTGGAGGCCCTCGATCGTTTGTGCCCATTTAATCGGCCACAGAAATTAAACCTAAGCAGCAGAGAAGATTCGCATCCTGCGCGAATATAGACAAACTCAAGAAGCACCAGTAAATACATAATAAAATCTACGCAAATGAATGTTTCAGACCTGTCGACGTGCGTTAGATGATCTTTAAGGGACATTGACCGATCAGAAACACAATAACGCCAACATTTAGAAATGAATAGACGTGACAAAAAACCAGCATATCATGCCAGTCTACGCATTGTACGCTTATGCGTGCCGCTGAGACCGCAAGAACACAGTGCACCGCCGCTACTACAGGGGAGCGGCTTGCTTACGTGTTAAACCGATCGAGTTACGGCTGCGTGTTTTATCCAGCATTAAGTTTGCTCAATAGTTTTCATCCTTTACGGTATACTATTAGTTGCTACGGAAAAGCATGCTATAATTTTTTTTGGATGAAACGAACACGAGAGATTGGCAATTTCCAAAGAAGAAGCGCATTTTTTAAGCGAAAGATGATACAAAACCTAGCAACATCTGAAATGCCACTTTGGACAAAGGGTCAAGGTACGACCAATACAATATGCGGAAATAGGTAGAGAGCTATTGCAAGCCAGAGTATGACCATCGACAGAGAATACACATCCCAAACCAGTTTGCTCTAAGAATTCTGGCCACGCGTTTGCTGTGCGGTTTAGACCTCAATTTCTCACTTCGCATTTTGACTCGCTATCGACACCTAAAGCATCCAGACACCAACAATGCGCCTAAATTACGTCTTACTGGCCGCTGCCTCGACCCTACTCGCCCGCCACGTCACCTCCACCCCGTACTCCGCTAATGATGTTGCGCTAACTGGTGTAATGTCGCTGGGCTTCATTCATTTTGTTGGCGCTGACCAAAGTGTAAGCGACCAGTCCCGGTTCCTGAGAGGCGGCAACATCGACGAATATGACAACGAAGAGAGAAGTTTTGTGGAGGTTGTTAAGCAAGCGATGATTAAAAACAACTTTGTTAACAAGCTGATGAAGAAGAACTCGTTTTCGGATATCGAGAAAATTGACGATCTTGGGAAGCTCAAAAGGATTTCGGTTGCTGCAGATGACCAATTGAATTCGGCGTTCAAGCTGGCTGACGATGCGAAAATGAGTCCCGACGACCTGGCCAAGGTGCTGAAAGAAATGCCAGGTGCCGACGATGCCCTGACGGGTAAGGCAAAGGAAATGTACACTGAGTACTTGAAAACAGTTGGCGGAAGAGTGCACACGTAGTCTCGACGGCGAAAAGTACAAACCGTTTTTTAAAAAATGCATTGGTCCCTACAATAACAGGACATACATGTAATAGCAAAAACACTACTGAAAACGGCGTGCGCCACACAGAAATGCATAATTCAGGAAGACCTTTCCTACCTGATATAACCCGTGGACGACTTCTCTGTCAGGCACAGCAGCTTATCGTGTTACTCAGGTCGTTCGTTGAGTTAAAAATCGATATCAGGCGCCAGGTGAGGAAGTATGCCGGCTAACAGAAGCATAAAATACAGATGTACTTCGCTGTGCGTTTCCAGGTCTAACGTGGAGGCACACAGGCATATCATACTAAAGCTGTCTAAATGGGTTTAAGTAAGAAAGTATCTCCTGGACTCATGGACTCGTGGATAAGTAATCATTTGTTAAACTGCGGAACACCAGGTCATTCAATGCTTCTTCACCTACATGTACCTCAATTACATGTATACATGTGTAGACCTCCACTAATTTAGACTCCATGTCAGGAATACGTGTGAAAATGCAATGGAGCATCGCACTCTCCAAAAACGCATAAAAATGATCATCATTTTCCGATAACACGATCAGGGGTTAATGGTAACTCCAAAATCGGTGAAGTTAATATTGTGAAAATATCACCTGTAGACAGTTAATAAAAAAAATATCACCTAATATTTTCTTCTGAGACAATATGATATTATTAAATATCAACTTAATATTAGCTAATGCGATATTATATTTTTAAAGATTGCGTAGTCGGGATAAATTTACCAATCAGATGTCGGTAACTAGCTGAATTATTACTAATCAACCGTGAGGGAGGGACAATTCTGAGAGTGACGGCAAGGGTTGGCGTCGTGTGTTGGCACTGCTGAGCGCATTAATCTAGCGCCATAGGCAGCAGGTTTATTAGACGCACGATGTGGACGAGGAGATCGGTAGAGAACAAGAACAAATGTCTTGATTTCGGTCTATCAAAGTTAAACACCTGCAAGCGTTTGCAGTTTCCATCTCGATCGCCTTTGTCTGTGTCACAGTGAAATACTAGAGCAAATACTCGTCAGTCTTAAAGCCTACTGCTTTTCTAGAACCTGATCGAAAAAGTTATTTGGCTCCGCTCGGTTCACAGAGGGTAAGGTGGTAAGAAACGTACTTAAGTGGGAAAATATCATAAAATATCAAGTGTATCTAATATTTTTTATTTCTCCGAGTTAATATTAAAATATTATGCTAACTTTTGCAAAGAAGAGTTAATATTAATATTTAATATCGAAAATAGTACTATTACTATCAAAAATATCAAACGATATTTGGTTACCATTAGCCCTAGAGGTTAGATGGATTACGGTCTTTTTGTATTTTCGGGCAACAAACTTGTGGTGGACCATTGTGACAGATTAACTTTTTTTGGACTAGTTATAATTTTGGTACATAAATATATTTTAGTTCTGACTTCGACTGCATCAACAACACATACAGATCGTATGTGTTCTCGATGCAGGAATGCACTAGCTGCTCAAGTTCCGGGACATTTCCTTGAAAGTACTAGATGATTTATAAATATTTACCGACTAATATATAGGCCTTATTAATCCGTCGAAACCGGGTGCTGCATAATGCCGGAATACAATTTCAGTTTAACGACTTTTAGACTTAAAGTTTGTATGACGTGTTTTTTCGCTCGCCATAAGGCATACAATTTTTAAGACAACCAAAAATGTATGTTTCTGTGTGGGTCTTTTTTTTCTCAAGAGGTTAAACGGGGCAACATTTGTCTACCGGTAAATCTAAAGATCAACTTTTCGATGTTTGTGAGAATCTAGATGATTTGTTTCACCTACCGGAGGTAACGGGCTGATTTCACTCAGTGAGTGGTGCACAGCCAACGCCGATCACCGCCTTCTCTCATTCGAGATTTTACGCCCCGAGGGCCGAAGACGCAGGAGGATGGTGGGAGTCCGACGCAAAGTGCTACTAGACTACGAAGTTACCGCACGCGACTTATCTTTCAAGTCGGTGTGGAGAGAGCTGAAGAAGGACGGGTGGACACGAAAGCACCTTCGGGACGCAGTCTCGATGACCTCTACTTTTATATGCCTCCCGGTAAAAACGTGAAGGGGGGCGAAGGCGTCGATTACTTCCGTGGCGAACAAGCTGTATTGGAGCATTATGCAAAGGGTGTGTGTATAACTTGCAGTTGAATAGCTCGTTGCTATCTCTAATACCAAGTTTGTTGCTTGTAGAACTGCGACGCCATGCGGTAGGCGTCCAACCCAGTGTTCCTGGAGATGATCAACTAGCTGCCGCAGCTATCGTACGTGAAAACTACGCTGTTGATATCGAAGCGGCAGAAGCAAGCGCTCGAGCTCAGGCTACTTCTCAACGTGTCCCCACCAACTAGCCAACTAACGGTGTGCCTCCCGTCCCCGTACGTGAATCTACTACCAGGCCACATTCACCATCACAGCGAGCGCCGACGCGTCGCTCTTTGATGAATACTTCAAGTCCTATGGCAAACTGCCCAGTTAGAAGTACCTAGCCAACGTCTCCGCTCACCCCGACGTCACCACACGTTCAAGAGGCCAACTGTTCATCTGAAGAAGCAGAAGAATCTGATAATATCAGCGGCAGCAACTCCACACATCCAGCACAAACTCAAACCATAAACGGTATGCTGCATTGTATACTGCATGCTATGCTGAATACATTGCAGTATAATGTACTGCATAGTGCTCTGCATATTACGCTGCATTATATACTGCATAGTATAATTTATGCTAATCCGAATACTGACATATTATTATGTGCTGTTTTTTAGATGATGCTAATGAAGACAGAGAAGATTCTGCTCTTGGTAGCGAGCTGCTTGCCGATAGCACCGACGATTTGAACGTGGTTATTGATCACGCCATTGAACATCAGTTTGGAAAGTTGGATTCGGGTGCTGAGGCGGAAACCGATGACATGGAGACTGGAGAGTGTGTATCGGGTGAAGAGGCGGGAATTTATTGTGCATCTGTCGACATTGGTGATTATCTGGCCGCGACGGAAGACGAAATCACTGCAGAGGTTCATTTCGCGGAGAATTTTCTTGATATTTTGGTGGAGAAAACGAAGTTCTCGCTGGAAACCTAAAGAACGCTGTCCTGCGTGAGATGTCCGCTATTGACTGGGAGAATGTTATTGAACCTGATACTGCTGAGTACATGCAGGGCCCGTACGACCCCGTCGACAATGCTTCAAGCTATCCTGGCCTTCGCCAAGAGTACTCGGGTCCCACTGCAGATGTTTTGCGCAGAGGAAACTCTCCAATTGGACTCTTCTTTTACTTTCTTCATGTTGTATTGTGGCAGCACATTGCTGCTTGCTCGACGAAGTATCACCGGGATATGCTACCACGTCGTATTGACGAAACATTTCAGCGATATCACCGGCAGCGGAGGTTGACCCCGCTGTGACCAAGAATGATAAGGCGATATATTCAGCACGAGTTGGAAGACATGAAGCCTATCTTAGCACACGAACTGTGCCAGTTTGTTGGACTATTAGTGGTAAGGACAATTGCCCCGAACAGAGAAAAACTTGCTAATCACTGGATGAGGGCGCTATATCACGAGGGTGTTTCGGCTCAGTGCTGTCTAGAGACCGATTCATGGAAATTTCACGCAATCTTCATTTCAACTCAAAGAACGACCCCAGGGCTCAAACCGATCGCGGCTGGAAGATCCGCAAGTTGGTAGAAGTCTTGCAGCTAGAGATGGTTTCAGATTTGAAGAGTAAAAAAGTTTAAAATACACAAAAACGTTTTAAACAGTTTAGAGGTATCCAAAATTCCAAAATTCATAAGGAATCCCAAAGGTACCCGGGCGAAAGAGAGGATTCGGCTCTGCTCATGGCGACAAGGGAGGAAGATACTGGCAGCGGGCCGCCACAATGGGAGAACATACAGCAAAGATCATCTGGGGATACTCCCCGCGATCTACACGCAGCTTTCGGAAGGTTCCGCTCGCCCCCCAGCTCGGTACTACGGAGGACTCTTCGCTACAGCCCTTACCAAAGAGGTTCCTCTCCGCTAAGCCCGCCAGAGGATCTTACGTCGCCGGCAACAGGCTCGCGTAGGGTGATGTTCTCGCCTCCACCTCACCCGCCACCTCCATCTCGACCCCTTCCGACACCAGCACCAGCGCGATTCCCCCCCCTATGCCAACCGTGGCGGAAGTACCTCGCTCAGCAACACCATCGCGTCCTCCCACGTGCTTCTACTCCTACACGATCGCCCAGGCCTCCTCACGCTTCGTCCCGGTCGCCCAGGACTCCTCTTAATCCCGCGCGATCGCCTCGTACTCCAGGGTCATCTCGTCGTTTTCGAGTGTCTCCACTGAAGGTCGGACGCCCACGTGATGAAATCTGGAATCACTATACTATTGAGCGTGAGAATGGGAAGAAACACGGGCGGTGCAAATACTGCGGAGTTCTTAAAAAGAACGGTAAGCCTAGTGGAAACTTGTTGGATCACTTGGTGAAGCCTAACAAATGCCCTAGTGTTCCCAGAGATGTTCAAATCTCTATCCGACCTACTATAGCCCCTTCGCCAACACTACCGCCGTCCCAACACACTGTGGAACCTGTAAAGAACTATCTTGACCAAGAAGCATTTGAAATGGCACTTGCACGAGTGTTTTTTGTCTGCGCCCTGTCGTTCATATTACTGAAAGCTCAAGTGTTTCGAGATTTCATGGCTATGGTGGCACCGACACTGAAGTTGCCGTCGAGGCAAAAGCTAAGCACGGTGCTTCTACAAAACGTACAAGATGATGTTCGTATGAAAGTGGTCGATCTGATCAATAATCATACCTACGTGTCACTCGTGACCGATGGTTGGACGGATACCAACAGCTCGAGTATTATAAACCTTATGGTGGTTGCTCCAGGGATGCCTTCCATGTTTTGGTCGTCGTGGTCCACTAGATCAAAACAACACACAGCCCGATACTTTGCGG